AAGTCGGTAGGTACGTAGTTAATAGATTTGGTAAGTCGATAGGTACGTAGTTAATCGATTTGGTAAGTCGGTCGGTACGTAGTTAAGAGCTTTGGTAAGTCGTTAGGTAAGTAGTGAATATATTTGGTAAGTCAGTAGGTACGTAGTTAAGATATTTGGTAAGTCGGTAGTTACGAAGTTAAGATATTTGGTAAGTCCGTAGGTACGTAGTTAATAGATTTGGTAAGTCGGTAGGTACGTAGTTAATAGATTTGGTAAGTCGATAGGTACGTAGTTAATCGATTTGGTAAGTCGGTCGGTACGTAGTTAAGAGCTTTGGTAAGTCGTTAGGTACGTAGTGAAGATATTTGGTAATTATGTAGGTACGTAGTGAAGATATTTGGTGAGTATGTAGGTACGTAGTTAAGATATTTGGTAAGTCAATAGGTATGTAGTAAAGATATTTGGTAAGTCGGTAGGTACGTAGTCAAGATATTTGGTAAGTCGGTAGTTACGAAGTTAAGATATTTGGTAAGTCGGTAGGGACGTAGTTAATAGATTTGGTAAGTCGGTAGGTAGGTAGTGAAGATATTTGGTGAGAATGTAGGTACGTAGTGAAGATATTTGGTGAGTATGTAGGTACGTAGTGAAGATATTTGGTGAGTATGTAGGTACGTAGTGAAGATATTTGGTAAGTATGTAGGTACGTAGTGAAGATATTTGGTAAGTCGGTAGGTACGTAGTTAATAGATTTGGTAAGTTGGTAGGTACGTAGTTAAGAGCTTTGATAAGTCGTTAGGTACGTAGTGAAGATATTTGGTAAGTCAATAGGTATGTAGTAAAGATATTTGGTAAGTCGGTAGGTACGTAGTGAAGATATTTGGTAAGTCGGTAGGTACATGTACGCAGTACAGAAATTTGGTAAGTCTGTAGGTACATAGTTAAGATATTTGGTAAGTCGGTAGGTACGTATTTAATAGATTTGGTAAGTCGGTAGGTACGTAGTTAATAGATTTGGTAAGTCGGTAGGTACGTAGTTAAGGTATGTGGTAGGTCAATAGGTACATAGTTAAGATATTTGGTAAGTATGTAGGTACGTAGTGAAGATATTTGGTAAGACGGTAGGTACATAGTTAAGGTATGTGGTAGGTCAATAGGTACATAGTTAAGATATTTGGTAAGTCGGTAGGTACGTAGTTACATGTTACCTCGCTATTCCCATAGTCAGAGTCCGTTCCAAATGTCCAGTTTGACCACTTGAATTGTTCGGGAAAGCCCTGCTAAAAATAGCGCCGATAACGTCACCTGACTAGGCAGTAAACACAAGTGGTGCGAGCGAGATGAAACGGTTTCCAAAGGGGCCCCCAGAGAGGGGCCGTCAGGCAACTGCAACTTCTTACCGCACTATGAAACCAAGTTATATGATTTATAAGTCCGTATTCAAACTTATTGAACAGTAATTATTCATCATTAGAAGTTAATTGCACACTTGCCAATATTCAGAATTTAAATTTATTTAGCTTTAAACATAAATGTGTTGCCAATAAAATTAAACAAGGGATGGGGCACAAGTTTTTACAATTTATCACAGCCTTCTCCCGTCATACATTTACAATTAAATGTCAACAATGATAATAGGCATAAACATAAAGTAGATATATTTAAATATATATTGAATTTAGTACCGGAATGTGGCCGGTACAGATGGTACGGGGCTAAACACCTTCCCTACACCAAGGGACAAACCTTTCTGATTTTTTTTTATATATTGCCGGGGCAGAGGAGGCCGGGTATTCATATTAGTACTAATTTAAATCTTGCATGTAAAAACAAAAATAATCGTTTAATTCAGCAATATAATTAAATCATACCATTTTATTGAACCCGGTAATATTATAAATTATGTAAATCCACGGACTTCGATAACACGTATCTCGGTGACCCAGAAAATACGCCGTGGGCCATCACAACAGTTATCCCTTGGAGGGCCTCATGGCAAAATCAAACTAACCAGTCACTTATCCCTTCCTTTCGCATAAACCACTGTATAATTATAGAAACACAAAGTAAACTCTCTCCAATACATGCCCATTAACATATTAAACTAAGTTCATCTGTGTTCAAACTCAGACAAAGATACTAGCGAGCTTAATAGTTTTAGATATTTATTCATAACATAAACAGCGCTAGCATTTCTGTCGATTCCATTTCAGCTTAACCGGCTATCCGGAAGAATACATGCACCGTACTAACTGCTACGGCAGTTATTTTCTCCTTTGAATACTGCCCACCTGCAATAATGATTCCGTAACGTACCCCTTGCGCTATCTTTTGACCATTTGGCAACTTTTCGTTTCGTAGCTGACACGGTACAACACTTTTCTTTCGCTTATATAATTACTTCACACGGCCAGTCATTTTGTTTACAAAGAAATGGTGTGCTATGCGCATGCGCTAGCAGAGGGAAATCCCTGAACAAAACGTTGGTCAGACAGATAGAAATACCGATGATTTTCTTAGATTTAATCATTTTTATGAATCTATTTCAGCCAAATCCGATCGTTATTTTCCATAAGGAGTCTCACTGGATATGTTTATGTAGTATTTAAAAAAAAGACAAAAAAATAAAGTTACTTCACCGCGATGCCCCTTTAACGCAAGTGGCGAATAAGGCAGGCAGTCATGGATTAACCTTTTCACCATCGGTATCAGCAAATTATGTACAAATGTATAATTTGTTTTGGCTAAATATTTATATATTTTTTATATGGATACTTTTCGTGCAGCTGTTTTTGGCCCATTGGTTATTGATCGTGTTTGTTAACGGAACTGTACGTGCGTTATATGTGTAATATGTACTGTCTAACACCGCTAGTTAGTACTGGTACGAGTGGTGAGTCAGTAGATTTGATCGTCTACAACACGTATGCCTTTATAGATGAACTAGTATTGAGTACAACTGCTTTACAGGCGGCAGTTTATCAATATGTTGTAATATGTATTTGGCCTATAATGTCAAGCTTCATAATGTCCAGAATGTGCTTGAGCTTGAGTGTCACCTAAATACATCAAGGTACACATAGTAAAGTTAACGGGACGCTTCCTGTAATTCAAGATAGGGATTTCGAAGGGACGAGTTGTTTTCTTTGTTCGGAGTCTGAAGTCAGATCCATTCGATCTAGCTAAGTCTTATTCTGATAAAATCGTTCATCGCTCATAACTAAAGCAATACAATTCCTACCTGATACGTTTAAAATCTATTTATATTTGACCTACCTACGCAAGTCTGTGTCCAGGGGTGTTATTGTTAATACGCCAATCTTACGTGCCATTAAGCAGTTGTTAACTGTCTTTATGAAAAAATGTCGGATTTCCCTATGCAAAATACCTTTAGATGACCATGACTGACGCATATTACTTATCTAGCCTTTAAGGAAACTCCATTACATCATGGATTTTTGGCTATTTTTAGCCAGATGAAAACCCCCCCTTTCGTACATCAAAACCAATATTAGTTCACGCATTGTGTGCTTAAAATTATATGTTTTTATCTTAAAATGTACTCGTGCTTAACAAACGAACTGTATAATGATTAAAACAAAATCTCAAATTTACAATAAAAGCACAAGCATTGCAGTGTTAGATAGTACCAGGCCGTAAGTTCTATTTAGTGTAATATTAAACGAATAGTGTTGTACACAGAATGAGTATGTCTCTATGTTATTGTAACGAATGAGCTGTTACCTGAGGTTTACCTGTGAGAATAAAGAGACACGGCGCGATCTAGCATATTTTACACAAGCATAAGTTATGTCTCCGTGTAACATGGTGTTTAATCATTGATTTATACCAACTCTTACATAAGTAGTCTTACCGTGTTTGTCAACATTTTGGCTGACTAAAATATCGTGTCTGTGACTTATTCTGGATCCGGGATCATATCATTGTATTGGGTTACCAGCGCTATTTATATATCAGTTCCCGGAATATGATGTTAATAGGAAAACACAATGAAAATACGTGATCAATATTAATAGTTAAAATCATGATTTATCATGTATATCAGATTTATTTCAATTTTGTACTTTCAGATATTCGTTTGATTGCATTAACCGATATTCAATAACGCCTACACACAATCACCAAATGGAAATACCGATAAAGCTACAAAATAAGGCGGTTTTTTTAACGTCACGAAATATTAGAGGTGAAATTGTGTGTTAGAGGAAAGATGGAGATAAACCAATTGTTCCGGGTGCAGATTGAGTATAAACCTATTGTTCCGGGTGCAGATTGAGTATAAACCTATTGTTCCGGGTGAAGTTTACATTTGATGTAGCTTCACAAACACACCTTACACATTTGAATTTAATTATTGCACTTTTGTTCGGCAACAGGCTTCAAAATTCACCTATTTCTAACGAAACATTTTGCGATCTGCATTGGTACAGGCCTACAACCACTGTCTCCTACCTGAGGATGTGGAATTTCCTCTAGCAAGAAAATAAATAAGTAAAATAATTTCTTAATTGTTTTATTAAGTTATAGAAATAATTATTTCATATAATGACATTAACAAACAGAATTTAATTTATATATACGTATTTTTTGTAACATATATACAAGTATCAGATATGTTTCGATTGTTCGTTTCTCGCAAATTTTCAATTGCCATTTGTATGTAATTACATTTCAAAGCAACAGTTTCATACACCATTTTCACGATACGTATATGTAAAAACAAACTATCCTCATATACAGCCATACTCTCTGTTTACTCACTTTGTACTTGTATGCTCAACTCATACAGATTTAACACTTACTCAAGTAACACCACGTACTCAACTCTGAGATCAAACCCAATGATATAATAAAGGACAATGTAGAGCAATACGACAATTTGCATTAAATAGATAATCTCATCAATCAAGACATGTAGGTTTCTTATCAATAACTATCATATTACTGAGTTACTCGTAGTACACCAGTTTCACAATGTTCTATTTTTATTTTTAAGTCAACTAGATAAACAGGATTTCTTAACTGTCGGGTCTTGATTAATGAGAATCTATTAAGAAACAAAATGAGACATTTCTCCCTCCCTCTCTCCCCGCATATTGAGACATTTCTCCCTCCCTCTCTCTCCGGATATTGAGACATTTCTGCTTCCTCTCTCTGGCAATTCTCATATCTAGCTATTTTATCTTAAACATGTATGTACAAGCTAACATAATAGCCCACGACGAAAAACCTCGAGTAGTCATTCCTGAGCACTCGACAGTACATGTGTGTAAGTTCCTAGCTAGTTATTGCATAGTCCCAGCGAATTGTCATTTCATTGTTGTTAGCGTGTGCACGTTTAATATACAAAGCAACTGCAAAATAAACATATATTGCACAAATCACCATGGAATTGTTTATCTCCTTTTTTGCAGATCACCATTTCGCCGACTTGAGGAATACTTGATTGTAGATAAAACCAGCTTGCCGAGGTACCGGCTGTACGTTTGTCAATAAGTCACACTGGGAAGTATTGCTGCGCGTTCCACACGTTTATAATAGCAGAAAACTGGTTCATCGGGAGTCAGTTTGTATAGTATTTCGGTTCTTTGCAAAGACACTATTAAGTTCTTGCTACAGGAGCACAAGTTTGGAATTCCTGCGTTCAGACTGGGCAGTTCGTCTCTAGCTTACAGAGCAAATCTCCGTCTGTATTCCTTGGGAACCTTTTTCCAGTTGAACTTGTATACCAGCCTCGTTCCATCCTCACGCCTCATAAACCCAGATTTGTAGTAGTGTCTGAAACAACAAGATTTATGTTAGTGACCATGTGTGTACAGTTAATGCTTGCATTTAATTTCTTCACCCCTGAGAAAACATTTGAACTTTTCCAATTCAAAGGTTGGAAAAGTTCATTATGAAATTGCAGGAGTGAATGAGTTATGCAACGTGTAGAAAACACAATTTTATGTTTGCTCTTTAGGAACTGATATTGTATTGGAATGAGAAATAGTACACAATAAGACCTATCTATGATTTTAACTATACTTATATTATCTTTGTGCCTTTAAATTGTACGTAGCATTGCTGAGACAAATAACATCACGTATACACATGTGCATATTATTCTGAAATTTTCTCTAAAATAGATAAAACAAAATACCAAATCTACAACGCACCTAATACCGCGGCTGAGTTTCTCGAAATTCATGTCATTTTTCCTCTTTTTGGCTCCCCACATCTTGCTGATTTCTGCTGTGTCGACAAATCTGAAGGTACCTTCTTTACAGCTGATCCATCTGATATGTTTCTGGTGAACGTCTGCCAGCTCGTCAAGCAGGAACTTCCATAACAAAATGTTCTTTGCACCTGCGAAACAAATAGCACAACTGTTATAATAATTGATTTATTACAATTTTACCAAATATCATTCCCAATTTGTTTTTATTTTACAACATTGCATTTTTACAATGTAGCTTTTGACTGTTACTGAATTTGGAGGCCTCTTCAAAAGAGGGTTGTTGGGAGAGCTACGTTTTACAGTAAGGATGTATGTACAATTATGTTTGGATTCTTATAATATACACATTAAGTATCAGTACATGACATGCTCCTTCGTTATCAATCAGTGACATGTTTAACAATGCATAATAACTTTAAACGATACTTTTTTTTATACGTAAGTAACAAACCGCCAACATAATGGCCTTTCTGTTTACCTCGTTTTCCCTTTTTGACTATAGCCTCCGACTCCTCGTCACCTTCGTCGTCTGAAACGCACGGCCTGGTCGTGGTTGTGTAATGTTTGGTGGTCGATTGTACAAGCTGATCAAAGCTGGGTAGGGTTTGATTGTTGTAGGCATGGTAGACCGGGGAGGGGATGGGGGGAGGCTGATAACAATCAAACTGTCCACTCCCAATACTAGAGACACTCATAGTTTCCGGATAGTCCTCCTGTTTGCTGCTGCGCGTAAACTCGCGGTATTCTTCTAAGCTTAGCATTACTGAAATAAATTATATATGTAATCATTTTAAAAGCAATTAGCAATAGTTATTCATTTGAAAATAGGTGAAATACATTGTATCTGTATGAAATGTTAAATATTTATGAAGGAAATTATACATTTTTCATTGATAGAACCCCAACGCAGGTTTTATAAAGCTGACGGCGAAAAACGCGTCCTTTTCATAAATATATTTCTATTTCGAATGAAGAATAAGAATCAAAAGCTAAAATAAATAGCTGTCTTATTGAATTTGTATCGTTACTACTAGGCTATCAGTATCCAATACCTACCACTGTCAGTGTCAGATTCAGAATCCCCTGTTACAAAATTCGTCTGTGGGGTCATATTTAGGAATTCGCTGTTTTCTGAAAATATACATATAAATGAATGTTAGAAATAATACAATTATATGATAAAAAACGTGTATATTTTTTTCTGGAAATGTTGCGAACACTTCCGGTCCTGTCACAATCTACCGACAAACCTATGATAAGACTGTAAATGTACCAAATCTGAATCTACTTTGTATTAGATAGTATAAAGCCCAGACTGTTTCACTGGAACTGTTAGGTACCTCGTCTATACTAACCTCCGTGGTTCGGTAGAATGAGGTTGATATAATCATGTATGGCAGGTTCCGAGTCTGAAACAAAAAAACGGAAGCGTGTAAATGTGGGCCACGGTGATAAAAGGAAAAGTATAATTTAAACCTTTCATAATATCTATTAAATCTTAAGGATTTCTGAATCTTAGCCGTCCAATGTAAAGTATAACGACTTCCAATAGAGAAATCTCCATAGCTGCTTTGGGTCGTTAACTACACTGCTATCAGAAAAAAAGAAATACTGTCAGTATATTTCTATTTTTAACTCACAACATTCAATGTGCAGTGTTTTGATAAAGACAATTAATATCTTCAATTTTTCATTAAATATGTTGATACTTTAAATGTTGATTTTAAGATACATATGATTATGAAAACTATCAGAAAAAAACCAGTCATTACTATGTTATATGCCTATTGTGACATGAACATTTATAATTCACAGGAAACGCGACATGTTAATGAAAGGTTAAGCATTTTACATAATATTTCACAATTCTAAATTGATATACTGTTACATTTTCTATCTTGCGATGCGTTTTGTCACAGTACCTGTATATGACTCTAAATCGTGGAGGTTTGGCCAATCAGCGGACGGATCGTAAGTTCCGTAACTGTATTTAGTTGCATCAGTGCTTACATCGTACAGGAACTCACAATTCGTATGACCTGTTTGATTCTAAACAAATGATACAATTAAATCAACCTGAAAATACTGAGTTAAAAATATCCGAACATTAACGCATATACGTTTTCTTTCATATCGTATCGTTAAAACTATGCTAGTAATCTGTTTAAAGATATATTAATAATAATTGTCTAGACCGATCTTTGTTTTCGTGCATCGCTGTTTTTTGACGTTTCAAATGCAGGTTTGGAATAGAAATCATGGTGTATGTAGTGTTTATTAAACTATATGAATAGAAACTATTTAAAGTTCGTTGTGATATTAATTACACGCATCCATTTTGCCGTAAATAAATAAGTAAGTGTAAATAAGATAACACCTACCTCGTAACACACCTGGTAGTTTATCATTGTTCCTGCGTCCATCGCTCAACTCGACAGTAGCACCTGAAAACCACGACATTAGTTATGCTTAGAAATCAATGAATATCATGGAATACATTGAACATTACTGACTTTTACAGCAATAAAAATAACAAAAGTATAAATTGTATTACAATGCCCCAAATATGTTTTTTTCTTGTATGCATCTGACATATTTCGGACTAGGTTTTTAATGATATCGGACCATTACCATTACCGTTGTCGCTCTACAATACAAAATTCATGTTTTACGGGTAATTCTCGTGTGTAACTTTGCATGTTTACTATACTCTGGTAAACGGGTAATTCTAGTGTCTAACTTAGCAGTCCTCCATTATAGCACCTGTATAAATTGTTTACACTTGTATACGGGTAATTCTACCGTGTAACTTAGCAGTCCTCCATTATAACACCTGTATATATTGTTTAAACTGGTATACGGGTAATTCTACCGTGAAACTTAGCAGGCCTCCATTACAACACATGTATACATTGTTTACACTAGTATACGGGTAATTTTAGCTTGTAACCTGGCAGGCCTCCATTATAACACATGTATACATTTTCTACACTGGTATACGGGTAATTCTACCGTGTAACTTAGCAGGCCTCCATTATAACACATGTATAAATTGTTTAAACTGGTATACGAGTAATTCTACCGTGTAACTTAGCAGGCCTCCATCATAACACCTGTATAAATTGTTTACACTGGTATATACGGGTAATTCTACCGTGTAACTTAGCAGGCCTCCATTATAACACATGTATATATTTTCTACATTAGTATACGGGTAATTCTACCGTGTAACTTAGCAGGCCTCCATTATAACACATGGATACATTGTTTACACTAGTATACGGGTAATTTTAGCTTATAACTTGGCAGGCCTCCATTACAACACATGCATATATTGTTTATACTGGTATACGGGTAATTATACCGTGTAACTTGGCAGGCCTCCATTATAACACCTGTATAAATTGTTTACACTGGTATACGGGTAATTTTAGCTGGCACCTTAGCCGGCCTCCATTATAACACCCGTAGAATGTTTTTACACTGGTATATGGGTATCTGATCTCAACTGTGAGACCTTGACATGTTTAACATAACTCATTTGAAAGGCATGCAAGTCAGTTAAATTACCAGCTACGTATGGACTTCATACTAAGAAAACCTGAATAGAACAGGATCTAAAAATAGGAGATTCAGGAAATTACCTGACGTCATTCCACCCCTGTATACAAGCTAGACAATGCACCTGTATAAACGTTATCACATTAACTTGTCTTACTGCATTATCCTTCTCTCATCCTATGTACAGGTGAACTTTATCATAACCATGCAACTCCCGTGTACAGTAGACTGCTGTAATTACCATAATTACAACACAGAGTGCAACAGACATTCATATTGTAAGTTAAGAAGTTACAAATTCAGACATTAAAATCATTTATTATTTAAAAACAATGTTAAACAAACCTTCTACTTTCACTTCTCAAATTCTTACTACAGTGCATTGTAATGCTATTTTGTTTATAGAAATATGCGTGTCCGCTGGTGACTGAATGTGATAATTCTAATGCCTTTTTAATTCTTAACTCCAGTGATTTAGTTCAAAATAAATTATGGCTGAACATCGAAGATAAACAAAAACATTCCAATAATAATAACAATAAATAGTAAAAACAAACCACCAACCACATCGCCCTGACAAAGTTATTTATGCAAGGAAATCTAGTGCAATGATATTTATAGTAGTTTTGTACTTTTTGAAATAATCTAAATGAAATGAGCAAATTAATGCTATATTGCAAAACTATTATGTTTTTATCAATTTATCAGTAATACTTCCAGATTTGTCAATTTAGAATTATTAGTCTTTTAGTTAGTAAACACAACTAAAAAGTATAAATGCAATGTTGAGATAACGCTAAGTATAAACAGTGCGGCTTACCTGTGTGTAGTAGGTCTCAGTGTGCAGAGAAGCGATGATACAGTCAAATGAATACATGCCTAGCGCACATGGCTATTTTTATTTGGCTAAACCGGAAATCCCTGAATTTAGGGAAATCCCCTTTGTTTACACACATACATACATACTTGTGATAGCGTGACCTGGCTCCGCCTTAAATTACTCTTATTGGATGATTCAACTAATAAATATGCATAAAACTGCTATTGTGTAAAAACTGATAACCATGGCATTTTTTATTGAAAGCTAGGACCTTAGTTACTGTCTCATTACGTCTCCCAAAATAAAGTCCGATTAGTTCATAGTATTCTTTCTACACTTAACTGACTCAGTTTGCTTACGTATAAAGATTAGTTATATATATTTCTTTTATATTAAGCCGAGATTCAAGTTTGGAACCAATACAAGTGTCATTTATAAGAATCATTTCTTCGTAATTCCTGTATTTATTAAACAACAAAACTGTAAAGTTTGAAACGTTTAAACTCAGTATTTATACTGTTTACCTTGACTAGCTTAGATAAAATTCGAACTCGCTATTAAGCTAGCGATACTACTTTCCACCATATGCACCACATGCCGACGCTCAGCCGTGTCATGTTATAGTTTAAGACAGAGTGTTGGTTATTGATTTACATACAGTATGATCGTCAATGTAACACACTCCGGTAGAGGAATTTCAATGGTCGTATTTTATCTAACCATCTTAGGATGACCGAATGAGGTGACAAATCAGTTTTTCAACAGATGACAATACAGGAAACATGTTTTAGCAATATGCATTAAAATTAAAGTCGAAGATCGAATACATATTTGATTTCATTGGAAACAAAAATTACATGCCAAACAAGCATGACGTAAACTAATTCATACGATGATAACAAGAGTTTGTTACAGCTACAGGTACCGAAATTAAACGGAACATGACCATTGGCTCTTAAAAGCATGCTGAAACAGATTCTTTCTCAATCAAGCCAATATTTCTTGACTCCGAATTGCAAACACAACTTGCCGATCTGCAGAAAGAATTCGGGTGTGTTGGTATAGCAGCCACTCGATCCTTGTCAGAACATATTACATGTATTACATTTCGTCTCTGCAAAAACAAATCTTCGCGTGTTTGATACAGTCTTAATGGCATTAGATTAAAATCAACTTAAGTTATTTACAATGATTATGAAACAAGTTTTTCAAGTTTATATTTAACATTCTTGTAGGCCGTTGTGGGAGAGCACCGATTATCTTATAGTGATGAGAGAGGAAACCGGATCGTAAGTCAGATCAACGTCTAAGAGTGAAAATCCATGTCAAAATAGTCCACAGCATATCGATAAAAAAGCGTTCGGTGATATATGAACTATAAGTTTTGTGAATTTTAATAAATAAACTATTTCACAAAATTATAAAAATGGATTGTTCTGTAATAATACAGATATACAATATTTACGATTGATTAGAACGGAACAAATTATATAAGATACAACATATGGTAATAATATACTACATACAGTACATACTTTTAGATACAGTTAATAAGTGATGCTGAGTATTGTACCAGTATATTTCAAAACCTTACGTGTGTTTAAAGACGAATGGGCTTTCAAGTAAGCATATTTAGAAACTCACAGTTCTTTGAGATTTATACATTAATCCAAATATTTTACACGGTTGAACCTCGTGTGTTGTGGTAGTCTCTAGCTCGATTCCGGATACAGTTTATGTTTGGAGCTAACAAATATGATTTTAGTTTGGGCTCTGATATTGGCATCTCAATTTTGACTCAAAGTTATAAACAAGTAAAGATAGCGTAAGGAGTATAAGCATCTCAATGTTGTCTAACAGCAACTAAATATTACCTAGGGAGCATTAGCATCTCAATGTTGTCTAACAACAACTAAATATTACCTAGGGAGCATTAGCATCTCAATGTTGTCTAACAGATATAAACAACTAAACATTACCTAGGGAGTATTAGCATCGCAATGTTGTCTTACAGATATAAACAACTAAATATTACCTAGGGGGTATTAGCATCTCACAGTTGTCTTACAGATATTAACAACTAAATATTACCTAGGGGGTATTAGCATCTCAATGTTGTCTAAGAGATATAAACAACTAAATATTACCAAGGGAGTATTAGCATCTCAATGTTGTCTTACAGATATAAACAACTAAACATTACCTAGGGAGTATTAGCATCTCAATGTTGTCTTACAGATATAAACAACTAAATATTACCTAGGGAGTATTAGCATCTCAATGTTGTCTTACAGATATAAACAACTAAATATTACCTAGGGAGTATTAGCATCTCAATGTTGTCTTACAGATATAAACAACTAAATATTACCTAGGGAGTATTAGCATCTCAATGTTGTCTTACAGATATAAACAACTAAATATTACCTAGGGAGTATTAGCATCTCAATGTTGTCTTACAGATATAAACAACTAAATATTACCTAGGGAGTATTAGCATCTCAATGTTGTCTTACAGATATAAACAACTAAATATTACCTAGGGAGTATTAGCATCTCAATGTTGTCTTACAGATATAAACAACTAAATATTACCTAGGGAGTATTAGCATCTCAATGTTGTCTTACAGATATAAACAACTAAATATTACCTAGGGAGTATTAGCATCTCAATGTTGTCTTACAGATATAAACAACTAAATATTACCTAGGGAGTATTAGCATCTCAATGTTGTCTTACAGATATAAACAACTAAATATTACCTAGGGAGTATTAGCATCTCAATGTTGTCTTACAGATATAAACAACTAAATATTACCTAGGGAGTATTAGCATCTCAATGTTGTCTTACAGATATAAACAACTAAATATTACCTAGGGAGTATTAGCATCTCAATGTTGTCTTACAGATATAAACAACTAAATATTACCTAGGGAGTATTAGCATCTCAATGTTGTCTTACAGATATAAACAACTAAATATTACCTAGGGAGTATTAGCATCTCAATGTTGTCTTACAGATATAAACAACTAAATATTACCTAGGGAGTATTAGCATCTCAATGTTGTCTTACAGATATAAACAACTAAATATTACCTAGGGAGTATTAGCATCTCAATGTTGTCTTACAGATATAAACAACTAAATATTACCTAGGGAGTATTAGCATCTCAATGTTGTCTTACAGATATAAACAACTAAATATTACCTAGGGAGTATTAGCATCTCAATGTTGTCTTACAGATATAAACAACTAAATATTACCTAGGGAGTATTAGCATCTCAATGTTGTCTTACAGATATAAACAACTAAATATTACCTAGGGAGTATTAGCATCTCAATGTTGTCTTACAGATATAAACAACTAAATATTACCTAGGGAGTATTAGCATCTCAATGTTGTCTTACAGATATAAACAACTAAATATTACCTAGGGAGTATTAGCATCTCAATGTTGTCTTACAGATATAAACAACTAAATATTACCTAGGGAGTATTAGCATCTCAATGTTGTCTTACAGATATAAACAACTAAATATTACCTAGGGAGTATTAGCATCTCAATGTTGTCTTACAGATATAAACAACTAAATATTACCTAGGGAGTATTAGCATCTCAATGTTGTCTTACAGATATAAACAACTAAATATTACCTAGGGAGTATTAGCATCTCAATGTTGTCTTACAGATATAAACAACTAAATATTACCTAGGGAGTATTAGCATCTCAATGTTGTCTTACAGATATAAACAACTAAATATTACCTAGGGAGTATTAGCATCTCAATGTTGTCTTACAGATATAAACAACTAAATATTACCTAGGGAGTATTAGCATCTCAATGTTGTCTTACAGATATAAACAACTAAATATTACCTAGGGAGTATTAGCATCTCAATGTTGTCTTACAGATATAAACAACTAAATATTACCTAGGGAGTATTAGCATCTCAATGTTGTCTTACAGATATAAACAACTAAATATTACCTAGGGAGTATTAGCATCTCAATGTTGTCTTACAGATATAAACAACTAAATATTACCTAGGGGGTATTAGCATCTCAATGTTGTCTTACAGATATAAACAACTAAATATTACCTAGTGGGTATTAGCATATCAATGTTGTCTCAAAGTTATAAACAACTAAATGTTAGTCTAGTGATATGATTCACATAATTTCATAGTGATATTTGCATTTAATTATTTTTAAATGCATTTGCGATATTAACGCTTGTTTTGTTTTGGCGTCAATGAAATAACGCTGTTTGATACCAGCTGTTGGCTGGACTATTTGTGGGGGAACAAATCGCAACTTTGAAGAGACGAAGTGAAACTGAAGCATCAATTGATTTAAACTAAGAAAGAATGTAAATGGTCCTGTAAATAAGAGCACGGCCAAGCCAATCAATTATAATGCACTACTGCGTGCTGTTTGATATGGTTATATTTCTTATAGGAATTTGAAGACTTGTATAGAACTAACCAAAATGCAGTTGCATATGTTATTATTACGATATGTATTTTTTTTAAATACGTCAGCAGTACACTACAATAGATTTGCGTTGAGTACATAATATCTTAAATAAAATAGAACATATAATGTCTCATATGAGTATGTGGAATACAACCAATGAAATAAAATCATATTACAATATACATTTTGTGACATAAATAAATCATGGCCTGCAGTATCCTATGTGTGATAAAGGTATAATGGAAACACATATGGGAATAGGATATATCGCTGTAATGATTGGCAATCACTGGAGTTCATGCTTAGAGTTATTTATAATTGAAACTTAGATACAGCATAATATTAAAAACACCGACAAATCATATTTCTTTTACAACATATATTCTTTGAACAGGAAACTTTCAAAGTAATTATTGTAAAATGTGTTGCTTACTTAGAAACTAAAGGGAAATATCCCAAACGGCGTTGTAATTTTATCTCTTCGAAATGCCCTATCAGCGGTTTTTTGTTGACAATCGTGATTAGAATTTGAAAACCGATTAAACCTTCCTTATATAAAGTTGTTGTGGTATTCCATATTTCCTCATGTTTTTTTAAAGTAAATCACACCATTTCTG